TAATACTTATTTATTTTGTTAATATTTTCGATTTTATTTTTTTAAATTTAAAATTCTCAACATCAATTTACTATGTAAGTAATTTATTCTTAAGTGAAATATTGGTATCAGTCTTGTATGCAAAACAAAAATATTACATGGTTTTTATATATATCATTTTTCCACCCTGAAATATGTCTTATATTCTGATCTGTACTCCTCTATTAAATCACAAAACCAAATTTTTAAATAAAAACAAAGGGATGTTTTAAGTATGGTATTTAAAATAAAAAATATGAATAGGTATTTAAAAATGATACCTAAAATTGGTATGATGTTGTAATGTTACAAAATATTACATTTATAAAAATTTGTCTTGCTTAATGAAATGTAAAATATGGAATTTAGAGCACCGTTGTTCATTAATAATTATATTGATTCTAATCATATTTTTGTAAAAATTTTAAGTTAAAATGTTAGATAAAAATACCTTTTATTTTTTAATTATTACATTTATAATTAGTTTAGATTAAGAGTTTAATACTGAATAAGCTATAAGTAAACTTATGTTTAAAATAAATTATTTTCTTAAAATAAAAAGTATTTTTGATTGAATTTTTGATTAGAATTTTATTATTTTTTATCACAATATTTTATAATCTATTGAACAAGAGGTGGGCAAGTGGGTACTGTTCTGCTGCACATTTGTTGTAGTGGTTCACTGTAGTAGAAGGATTAAATTTTAATTCAATGATATGAAATCACTGTGTACCAAAAAACAATTCTGAGCCAAGGCAGATGTATCAGCCTTATTACTAATATATTTTATGATGTTATTGCTATTAAAGTATTTTAATTTTATTAATTTCAATATACAATATAATTATTAATAATAACTTTCAATTTCCTGAAAATAATACTTTAAGTTTTCAATAAAATAACTAAAATTGTTATCCTTCGTTTAAATATTTAATAATACAAAAATTTACTTTTATATTTCAAAAACTGGTTTAGAGTAAAAATTCCCGATTTTTCTTAATTTAATTTTTTATTTTTCCTGGCGTTTTTGAAAACTACTGAGAATTTATTAATATGAAACTTAAAATCAGAAAACTTATGCAGTTGAGAGCTTCTAAGATAGCCCAATATTCCCCCTCGAAGAACGAGACGTATGTATACAGACAGTTTAGAGGATGGCTATACATGTAATTCGGGGGAAAATAAGCGAACGCCGCTCCAGATTGTGTAAATGATCCATCGGTGAAGACCAATGTATCGATTACAATTTTCGACGATTAACTCTAAATAAACTGTTGATTATGTATTTGTGCATTGACTGTAAATCTTTCGGGTGTAGCAGTGTAGCCTAGGAAGTTAGGTGAGACCATGTGACTGGTATGAGGGTAAGTGCATCAATGTTTATGTCGTATAAGGGTTGTTTGGGGGCTTTGTAAACGTTGTGAAAACCCGTAGAGAATGACTGTATCATAGATGAGAAGAACAGTGTGAACCTACGAACGAATAGCCATTTGATAATAGGTAATCGAGTTAAATATATCAATTATGAGGGAGTTTGATGAAGAAGAGCATTGCAGGATAAATTTGACAGTAAGCCAACGATATCTAATTGAGAGCGGTGGACGGGAGGATTCCACAATCAGTACAACATTTGGAGTTGATTTTAGCAAAGAAACAGTGCAAAGACAGCTATGAGCTAGCCTGTAATGAATTTAATCTTTTGTGGTGAGAAAAGGCGGCGGAACTAAGAAAACTACATCCATATTCAATTTTCGCTCTAATGATTGACTTGTAAACTTAAAACAGAAATGAAGAATCTGAACCCAGCCAGGTACCAGCTAAAGGCGTAAACAAATTGGGCCATTTAGAGGAACATTTCCTTGTGAAAATAATATTTATGTGAAGCTACGGAGAAATTAAGCTTGTTCAGATTACTGGCCAGAACTGACAAAGAATGGCTCAAGAGAGATGATGCGTGGTTTATATCTTGATGAAGATAAAAAATAACCAAGTTATTAACATACTACATGTCTACATACATGAGGTACGGAATGTTAGCTTCTTCCAGGGCAAGCGCAACAACGGGCATGTATATATTTAACAGTAGAAGGCTGAGACTGCTACCTTGAGACCCCGAAGGGGGGATACAAATTAATTCTAGTTTGTATAACAGAAGACCTATGAAATGAACCAAGGAGGAAGGTTTGTTATACGAGTGTAATATAGAGGTAAATTAGGAATGTGAACGGAGTCATAAGCTCTTCGGATACCTACCTACCTATCAATAAATACAGCTGTTAAAAGCATTGTAAATACCACCCACAAAACAAGATAAACACTCAAGAATACCACAACCTTTACGAAACCCAAATAATTTTTAGGGTAGAAAGGACAAGTGTTCAACTCAACAATCCAACCTAGTTTTGAGAATATGTTCCGTTATTTTACAAAGATCTGATGAAAAGGCTATTAGTCTGTATTCTGCCAAGTTGGTATTGAGCTTGGGTATGGGAATTATCTTAAACTGCGAAAAACTTGGGACATTAAGGTTAAGATATAGGTTGTTGAGTTAGTAAACCGTCAAAACCTCCTTCCAGTACGTTTGTTGTGAGGATGAATAAAATTGAGTCAAGCCCAGTAGCTGGAGATCTTCTGGAATTAGTAGCGTTTTGTAGTTCGATCAGCAAAAAAGTCTTGGTTGAGATGTGATCCTCTACCTAAGCTTTAGTATTGGGCGCATTCAACGTACTCAACTTCATTTAGGTAGGAACATAGTCTGGGGCAACTTAAGAACAAAAATCATCAAACCAATCATCGTTATACGCTGAAGAAGTGGATGAGAAACCTTTTTGTTTGACTAGAACCAAAAAATTGAGATAGGAGTACTAGGGTTAAGTATAAAGGTAAATTCTCACCATGATGTTAATTTGGTGAGTTTAAGTGTTCTACAATATTTTTATACATTAGAAAATCAGCAGAAGTTTTAGACTGTCTATACTAATGAAATTCAACAGTTCTAGCTTTAACTGCGACTCTGCAATTGCAATTCCACCAAATAGGGGAAGCCTTAACGGGGAGTGAAGATTAATATTTGGGTATGCTTCAGTTAGCTACACTAATTATTATATCTTTAAAAGAAGCGTAAACCTCGAGTCAATCAGAGAACAAAAGCAAGACCAATCGGCTTTATTGGAATTGAACTTATGAACATGTTGGTGGACTCTGAGAGCATGACTAATAGACGGCACAACGTAATCTTATTATATTCAGATGGTGATCGCTACCATGCTATCATGCAGGAATTCCCATTGACTGGTTAGGAGAAGGTGAGGAAACGGAAATTTTGACGACGGTGTCAAGAAAAGAAGAGCGATTACGGCGAGCGGAGGACTCGTTATTGAGTATTCAAAGCTGCAGATCCGCAATGACTGAATGATTGAGACAACTTTGGTGATCATTTCTGTTGGAGCCTCAACATGAGTGAAGACCACTGAGATCACCTACAAATATGCAATAATTAGACAAGATGTTAAATATATTACTAACCATTGATTGGGATGTGTTAGCCTGAGCATAGGCGTACGCACGGGGGATGCCGGGTATGCTATGGCATCCCCTGTGGAGTCATCTTTATCATAGCTTATGGTTGTAAAAATTTTGCTTAAAATTTAAACATTTTGGTTTTTGATAAAAATATTTTTATTTTTACTTATAAAAATGTTTAGAATTGAGATGATATCTAATATCAATTAGATTGCGATTTGCGAATATAATACAGAACAGTTGTACTGAAATTATAGTTGTGATGCTCATCTTTTCTATAGATAGTAGATACCATAACCTTGATGTTGACATAATAGCTTATATTTTTATGTGAAGTGTTCTATAATTTACATAGTTTATAAGTTATAACACAATTTAAGATAGTATTATTGACGAGTTTAAAAATCTGCATCCTTTTGAGAGAAGACTAGAATTCTAAAACTATTTAATTTCTGTATAAATATTGTTAAATATTTATTGTATAATAAAAAATAATAATTAAAAGCTTTATGTATTATACATATATTTGTGGTAATTTCGGATTCGATACATTATAAATCATGTCCTTTCATCATCACCTTTTTATTTATAATACACAGAGTTTTTGGGGAGTGATTTTTTTTGTATTGGGTAAGATATTTTTAAAAATATAGGCATCTCCTGCGAAAAAAGTATGCGCACGCCTATGAGCATGAGGAGGAATGTAACAGGACCAATGATCCAAATTCGAGTCATTGTTGAGGAGGATTATCACACCATCTAGGTAAAGGTTATGACTTGTTAGAAAACTGATGTAAGTCAGTGTTGATGCCCAGCTTCCGAAACTTGAAGGATTTTTTTTATGGCAATCACGACGCCGCTATAGCTATCAACCCTATCACCTCTAACTAGGTGATAACCAGGGATATTAATCCACTTATTAGGAAACCATGTCTCTGAAAGTCTGAAAAGAGGGCAACTGATACTGAGTTTGAAGAAAGTATATGAGGAATACCAATTAGTTGAGCAAGGAGATTCCTGTGTGAATGTATTATTTAGGTTTATTTTTTAATTACCATAGCCCATAAGAATACTGAATAACATAATATTTAGATTCATTTTTCAAGATTTTTGATCGATTCTAACCATTTTTCTTATAGGTATACCATATATAGATTGGCAGATGGCCATTATAAACTATTATAACACATTTAAAATAATAATAAAAATAACTTTAGAAGTGTAATTAACGTTTTATTCTAAATTACCATAAATGTAAATTATTGATATCCGTACCTTGATTTGGTGAATACCATTGTGTATTCCAACATTCGCTACAAAAGTATCAAGTATTAATATTATTCTTACTTTATCGCAAAATAAATTTAATTTCAATTTGTGTATATTTTAATATTTCATAAAGAAATTATTATTTATTGGTAACATTTGCACAGAATGTGTAAATAATAATAAATATATAACAGAAGTAAAATAATTTTGAATAATATGTTCCCAAGGCTATAATTATTAACTTTTTGGGTAGTCACTAGTCATCAATGAGGAATGGGCTGTCCAACACACCGTCACCAGCATGCACACCACCTTCATTGCTCGATGTCAATTTTGTGCGCATCATATGACCCACTTGTTCATTAAACAATATTTCATCACCGTCACTGAAACATTTGTTTGCAAATAAATAACGACAAAAGTACTACTAGAACCAGTGTATAGCACATGCAACTTCCTTAAAACTCAATTACAACAATACACCCTTAATTATTGCATCTATTATGACATTTATGTCAATCAGCAATACAAATTATATTGTTGGCAGTTGTTTACACATTATTTTAATTTTTATGACATTTTTGTTTATAGTTTGATACATTTCATATTCAAACGATTGACAATACGAAGTTATTACAATTATAATTATTAATTCATCACAATAACATAATTTTTCTTAGTACTAATTTCTATTTTATAGTATCAACTATATTAATAATAAATAAGTAATTGTGTTACATTTAATATTATTAACTTTATTTTGTGCATTAATAATATGTACAAATCACGGTTATCTACGGTGTAGATAAGTAGATAACCGTAGTACAAATACATATAAAACCATACTTTGAATTCTGATTTGAAATGTCTTAATAGTGTTAATTATTATTTGGTCATTATGAATTAAATGAAGTGTCCGTTTTAACTTTTAATAAATACAGTTGATTTAAATATTATATTTTTACAATTATTGTAAAATTAATTTCTAGTTTATTAGTATTTATTTAATATAAGCTCATTACTTTTTATTTTGAAATTAAATTGATTATTCGCGGGAATGGTAGTTTTTAATGTGAGACTTATTTTATTGTGTGTACATAGTGGCTAGAACTTACTATTTACATGGCTACATACTATGTAAGTGTATTGTACTATTGTGTAAAATATGTTATAATTTGTTTTGCTAACAATCTTAAACTAGCTTATAACCAGTGCACCCCGTCCTACTATAAATACGTTATATTTACCGATTTATACACACATATACTATATTAATTAACATAGGAAAGTACACACCATATTATGGTACCGAAGATGCCTATCTCAGATACAACTTCGCATAAGGAAGAGTTTTTCTCGAAATCCTGATTCGGTCTAATTAAGTAATTTTGTTGGACGGGAGGATTTATTTTATCCATCAGAATCCAAGCTGATCGTTCTTTACTGTTCATGCAGCTCATGAGTTTCTATAAAATATGACCAAAACATATAAATAACGCAAGTATTTAAGTAAGTAGTTATCAATCATAAAACATTACTTTTCTGATGTCCTCTCCGTACAAATTATTGCCCCCGCCTTCTCTTTGCGGTTTCAACACAAACCGATCCGGAGCATCTAAAGCCATTTTGACAGCTTTTTCACCATTTTCGTCCTAAAAGGATGACATTAAATTAATGAGTTCACTTAACTGTACTGTCTTACAGACGGAATTCATCGCTCACCAAGTCCAGGGAGTACAATCCCGTGAACACTTTTCGGATTTCTGCAGCTTTTTTGGCGTCTTTAACAAAACGTTCTAGATTTCCCGGAGTCGCCAAAGCTTGTTGTACCTGAGATAAAAACGAAATGAGACACGACATCAATTAATATAATGTGCTACAAGTTACAACTTACGGCGGCGTTTCGAGCTATAATTCTATTAATACTTTACATTATTCATACAACAAATAAAAGCGAACTACCGAATTTATACGAGTTTATAATTTAAATCATCCTATAATTCTAAACCCGACGACGATAGTGTTTCAAACCCCGAAATTCAAGCTTTATTTACGTACTTTTTTAGTTCCCGCCAAATGATATTGAATGTTCGGGCACTTGATAGCTGTCGAACGTTCAATCATCAAGCGTGCTGACCATTCAGCATCGCCGAAATAATGATTAGGCGAATAACCGGCCCTGTAGTACACGACGGCCACTTTTTTCCCCTGGCTGAAAATCAAATTAATATTACAATATTATATTAACTAGTATACGTAGTTGATTCAAAGGTTCATGTATCATTTTTTGTAGATTTACACTAATAAGTCTTTGGAATCTGATAGCTTTGCTTCATTGAATATCTGCGTCAGCGTCTTGACGATGACTTTGACTTCTGGTCTCAGACGAGCGATTTCGAATTGGTGGAAACGTTGGTCGCAGATATTCATCGGATGATTTTCAACAATCACCAAGATAGCGGAACTGAAAAGATTTAAAATCGTATAATGTATGATTATTATATTATTACTGTCATTTGTCGCCTACCATTGCCCAATTAGTGTATAGGTGTAAAAACAATTCAAACCGGTTTCGGCCCGGGACTAAAATATATTTTAATTTTTAAATAAATAATTATATCTAACGATTTACGTACTCTTTTTCGCCAAACAGTTCCCAAGCTTTAATGATCGCTGAACTCAGGCCTTGTAATGCATTATTCTCGGGTAACTAAAAATCGAAAACAATTCGATTAAAATTAAAAGCCAAAAGGACGTGTAACAAATAGGTGTGACTCAGTGCAGTGGCGTAGTTATGAATTAAGGGGATCGATCCCACTCCCAGAGCTTTATTCAGATTCTGAGTGAAACGATCAATGCATTGTTACAATGATGTGTTTTAAAATTTTTTTTTTTTGTATCTGTATTGGTACATATTTTAATATTCTATTTTATACGATGTTCAACTTTGAGGATGGCTTCTGATGGAAAATTGAATATAGGTTGTACTTTAAGAGGTAAAAATTGAAAATGTTCAGATCTTTTTTAAATAATCAGAAAAAAAATTAAAGAGAAGATAGAATTTGACGAAACTGACTTGATTTTTTGGTGTAATTCGAAAACTAATTGCCGTAAATACTTTGAACTTTCACCAATTGTTTATTTTATTACTTTTTATACACAATACAGTTTTCAAAATATTTGTTTTGAACTGTTTATTAAATTTAAAACAAATTAAATTTTCGATGAAATAAATTTCGTTGGATCAAAAAGCTTGAAAATTTAATATTAGGTACCTTGTAAGTTTTTATAACAGCAGTTAAAATATATTAAAGATATATATAGGTGCGTATAATGATTTTTTAATAGACATCAAAGTTCACATTTTGAAAAAATAAATAAAATTCTTGACAATATACAAATTATTTTGTAGATAAAAATGTATAAGATGTTCAATTTTTATAGTGAGAATTAAAAATGGAGAACAAGGTTACTTATAAGTAGTTCATTATTCATACTGTAAAGAAAGTTTTAATTTCAAATTTCAAGCTCATATGAATTTCATAAATATTAAAGACAAAAAAGATGTGTTGTTAAATAGGTTATGTGTATAAAATGACCAATAATTCAATAAAAAATTATTTTATAGTGTAATAGAGTGGTGAATTAAAAACAAAAACAGAGTATTATGGTAATGTGGCGTTTCTTCAAAAAAATATCTATCTTCTCTACACCCCCCCCCCCCGACCAAAATCATAAATACGCTACTGACGCAGTGCAATCAACAATCGTTATTAGTGATTTACGAAGACGACGGGAGAATTAAATACATCTCTCACGAGTATTATAAAATAATACATACCACTTTCAGTTTGTCCAACAAACCCAACTGTTGAAAAACAAACCTGAAAAAAAAATGATTTTCACATCATACGTCGACAGTATCGTGTAATCGTGTAATGTGCAAGCCGCAAGGTAACTTTGGTATATATCATGTATTAGGTACTATATTATTATAATGTTCTTCGTGGTATAGATAATTTATTGATCTGACATTAGACCTCTGTCCTTGATCAAGTTTACAATTTTGCGGGTTAGAAGAAAGAAAGAAAAAAGTATCTAGGTGGCGGTAATAGATATATAATATATTATATAGGCGTAGTAGGTCTATATGTATCTCAAATAGAGGAGCGTACTTATAAATAATATTGTTATTAAAAAATAGGTGTAAAGGCGCTAAATAAATAAACATAATATGTATCATTAATTATAATTATTATCTACACTTATAACATAAAGGTATGAAAACATATAATACATATAGCTGATTTAGATGCAGAATATATTGTTACGGGGCCGTATTAAGTCAGTATAGAGTATAGATCCAACGATATTTTTTGCAGCTGCAGCTGCTGGTGTTTGTTATGTACCTGTGAGTTGGGGCTGAAGATGTCAAACCGGCAAAGCTCGAAGCGATCGTGTTCATTTCCACTTGTTTCACGGATGTGGAATTGCAAACGTCCAACAAGTAGTCGGATCTCAATAATCCCAGACACCGCGACTGTAAAGCACCACACATCAACACAAATACACAACGTGTATCTTTCTACAGAAGAGTCGTCTAAACCCCGAGCAAAGATTCACACAAATTATGTTCTATGTTTTTTTTTTTACCAACATCCATCCAACAAGCATTTTTTTTTTTAAAGATCACTTAAAGGTTTCAAAGAAGTAACTATAACTATACATAAGTGTGTAACAACTGTGTTCAAGTGTATGCAAATTGTAGACAATATAGTATTAGATAAGAGAAAGGGCGAAAACGAGCATCGATACCGATATATAATCGTATTATAATTTTATATAATATTATGTATAGTGTATACGCAATGAGGAGGTAGTCCACGACATTTTTGTCTCGGAAATGATCGGAACTTTATGATATATACGTCAAAAATACGAATATGGACATATGGTACTACCCGAGGTCCCAAGCTGATGGTGACTGCAGGCGAGAAGTGACAATATTTCGTAATTACATCTTTCAATGTTCCTGCAAAATAGTGTAAACCACAATAATACATTTTTTTAATTACTCTTTTATCATTATTGATGGGAATTTGAAATTTAACGAATATTGGGGACGTTGAAGTAATTGATGAACAAAATCTGATAATACGTAAAATAAAAAAAACAATAATTATGTCGTGCCAATGCATTGAGATAAAGTTATTACGGGTCTTTAACCAATTAGATCAAATATTTAAAGATTGAAACATTTTTAAACCATTACCAGAAAGTGTGAAATTACCACAACAAATGTAAAGACTAATATGATGGATGTGCATGATGAGGAAGCAGTAGATACAATTAAAAGACCAACCATAGGAAGCATAGAAAAAATACGAAGAAACTTTCAGTTTAAGCGAAGATCAGCTGACAGCTGTTATATAGCCATACAGCCATACAGGTGTCGGGAGCAATCATACATTTACAAAACGTAAGTACAATTAAAATGTAGATACAAGTTGCAAAAGTTATGCAATGTTAAATGGCATTCGAGTACTTGATTAAAGTAAGAAAACTAAGATATAATTTTTAAAGTCTGTAGTCTAGATAGGTAGTACTGGTTTTAATCATACGCTTAACTTATAATTTATATGAGAAGTTAGCAATGGTATCAAAGTTGTTACTTCCCCGCCAGTGGCGTAGACATGATTTCTGAAGGGGGGGGGGGATCAAAAAAAAAAAAATGACAGCTAAATGGGAGGTGAAAATTGGAAAATCCCCCACTCTCTCAAAACTTTTTTCTAAGTTACCTAGTAAAATATTTAACAATAAGGAACAATGAATGTAATTTGAAATGAATCGAAATTCACATTAAACACAAAATCTATAAATAATAAGATAAGCTATAATAAAGTATAATCATAGTCGTCAATCGTCATCGACCATTTCGACCATATAAATATTACTATTTACTTTGCTATAAATAAACGAAAATAAAATTATATTGGTGTTCAGTAGACAAAGCTGTCAAAATTCAATAGCTCGATAGATCATAATATGACAAAATATTACACTATAGTGCATATTACATAATGTAAGGAACAACAAAAAATAAAGCTATTGGGGGGGGGGGGATCTGACTCCCACGTCACCCCCATGTCTACGCCACTGTTCTCCGGAACTCCATCCTTATTCTTAATACTAACTATATGGCAGAAGACAAGGTTTGTAATATGTTGAACAATGACATATTGGGGCTTCAATGTCCAGAGGCCTCTTAGTCGGTTTAAAACACCAAAAAAAATGTTCCACAATACTTGGTACCTATTTTTTTTTTAAATATGGCCCTTTTGGTTTTTTGCAACTGCACAGAATTTTTATATTTACACCATTGATGTGGAGACTATGGAGATTTTAGGAACATTATCAATAGACATGAAAAATAGGTATGTACATTATATAGATGTAAATATTATTAAAGATAATATTACACCAATAGTAAAAAACAGCAAGGTAGTAACTACTAAATTAAAAAGCTAGTGCTATGGTATTAAGATTCTGAAAATGATGTGGTCTCCCTCCAATAAAAGTTTTAACTAAGTATGCGTTCTAAAAAATTTTAAATTTAAGTAATAATATGTGTATAACCATTGATAATACAAATAGTCTAGTTTTCTTGTGTCAGTGTTTTCCTTAGTCAAACAAGCAGAGCATCAACATGTAATAACATGTATTATGTTGCAATAATAAAAAAAAATAATATTCCAAGAATTTAAAACTTTTCACTACAACAGATATTATTATTATTATTATTATACACAATCTAACTTTCATAATATTGCGATTAATTTTAGAGCTATTCATACCACAAACCTAATCACACTGTTCTATAGTAATTTAACATTAACATAAAAGTTAATAACACTTAGTAATTTATATTAAATAACATTATACTAATAATTATAATTTTCTAAGACATGTCAATATACATTTGTATATACCTACCATTTTTAGATTTAATGTAAATTAGTTTATATTTTCTTATCTAATAGTTAGTTAACACAGATTAAAACCTTTGTTGTTGAAGCCTTAGTAAATTATAAAAAAAAAAATTATTATTATTATTATTATTATTAATATTATTATAATATGAGTAATATGTGAGATTTATTTTTGGAAAGTTTGTTCAATCTATCACATTTATTACTAATAAAAAAATTAATTTCTAATAGCGATATAAATATATATAAAATATTGTATATGTCTCTGCTCATGATCGTTTTTCTTATGCAATGATTTATCATTGTCGTTCATTGAATCCAAATTAAATATGAACTACTCTATGACGAGGGTACATTCAACACTTACCTAACCTAACTATTAAACAGATTAATTATTTTTTTTAGTTTTTAATTATTCACAAGAAATATATCTGATGATAATACATTTTAAAATACAGAATTATTCATATATTTTAATATTTTTTTGTGGTTAATATCATGCATATCAGAATTGTTAGTAAGAGTCAGTAAAACGATGGTATTGATACCATTATATAATATTTATTTATATAACATTTTTAAAAACTGCAATTTTAAGTAGATTGCATACAATGAAGGACAGCGTAATTGGAATTAATTTTTATTCTAATTTCTAAATTACTATTATAATATGTTGATACTGTACAATTGTAAGGTTGACAGTGTGGTGAAATGTAATGAATTCCGAACAAATTCTCAAGAAAATAAATTTTATAATATAATAGTAATTAATAACACACATTTTTTAGTTTAATATAACAAGCAGTTTTATGTACATGCTTATCTGCAACAAAAACAAATAAACTATGGAACATACATAATAGTTTATAACCAGATAACTTTTATATTATTAAATTATTAAATAATAGCACAACTTAACTATCAAGTTATTATACTAGCCATATAAGAGTAAGACAACACTATTAAATAAGTTTTAATATTTGCAGCTATTTCAATACTAGGTACTGCTTTTTATATCAAGTTAGTTTTAATTACAATTTATTATTTTTATAAAAATCAAATAAAGTTATTGTTAATAAATAAACAGATTTAAAAGTAAATAAATGTACATTTTTATTATACTTCAATCATTTGTATTTTATCATTTAAAAGTGTGCATAATATTATATTAAATCAATTGCTACTCTACTTTATAATTTTAGAACATACAAATTTATGTACAGTTTGTATGTTTAAATGTGACATTTTATCTACTTAGGTGTATCTATACTATTTTAATGAACTTAAGGAACAAGCTTTTTTTATTATTTAATTAACTAATTTGAACCTTTAAGAATTTAATTAATAAATATCTTGTTTAAGAGGACGCCACACCTGCATGTGTGAAATAATACATTTTCAAGCAAGTTTTTGCGTTGAACGTTTGTAAGACGGAGACAACACATGCGAGTGTGGCATCTTCTTAATGGTTACCAATATTAAGTATTTTAACAATATCAATGAAGTACAAATCAAATCAATTCTTTGTAATTTTCTCAAAATGTGTTAAAAATATATTGACGACTTTAATATTAACAGAAAAAGTTTGATTTTGTAGTATTCTTAATATAGATCAATACTTGAAACCAAAAAAAAATGAAAATCATTATTTCTTATTGAAAACTTATAAATTTTAATGACATTTCACACTAGTTTATACTAATTTATTGAAATATAGCAAATTAAATGTATTTATAAAAAATATGCCTAATATAAAAATATACTTTTTACACTTATAAATTTTAAAAATACAAAATAGTAAAAATCAAGATTAAATATCATTTCATTCAATGCAGGTACAAATTAATAGATTAAGCTATAGAAGTATAGAAGTTTAAAAGTAGTATCAAGCCAGGCATATGAGTAAAACGATGCATTTGAAGATTTATGATTATAAAATACAATAAAATAGAATTTGTATGGGCGCATCCTGTTTGTGTACATACATGATCAAACAATAATTTATTTGCTCACAAATTTAAAAGAAGGTCATAACAAGTGTGTGCATAAACTTACGACCGGTTTACAAACACACTCTTATAAAACAAATAAGTTAATCTATTTTTTTTTTTAAACATGAAAATTTATCTAATATGTAAACATATGACTATATAATTAAAAATAATAATCGTTAATTTGGATGGTTTAATATAGAAGATACTCACTACCCTCATTAAGATATCATAGTTAAAACATTACTTTCGTGATATTAAAATTTGATGGAATAAACAAATTATAGATATATATAAAATTATGCAATATTTTAAAGAAATTTACAATTTTAAAATACTCACGATTTGCTTATAAATTATAATAACAATAAACATAGAGACATGAAGCCGTAGATAATATTCTTACCTTTAAATTTTTTAATCATTTTCACTCTAAAATTTAAAGTACAATGTATGATGGATTATTCTGAACAAAAAAATGGCTGTTATGAATTAGTAAGACAGAGACTACACGTGCATGTATAACTATTCTCTATACAATAGTTAGAATTGTATTACCTATCATCCAGTAATCTAGTTTCTCAATTATATTATATTATTATCCTAATCTATAACATATAGTAACAGACATCAGTGTTGTTATATATATTTTTGATAATTATTATTTGAGTAATAAAGTATCTAATAATTTAACAAAACATTATTTTAATACTACTAAAAATCATAGGCGTGTCTACAGAGGATGCAGGGTGGACAACTGCCTCTCCAGGTACTTATTGGAGGGTTTTACCATCTGAGTCGTTTATATTAATATATTAAACAATTGTCTAATTTTCAATATTATGATAAAATTATACACCAAGTATACCAGGTTAAGTCTATGATTTTCTCCTAAAACCATTTGTTACCTTATTAGGTTATTAAATGATTGTAGTACGATTAAAGATATATTTTGTCACAATGGCACTCATTTACAATACATTGTCATTGATTTACAGGTGTTTATATTGTAATCTTATTTGAAAAGAGTCACCAACATTAGGCAGGTATATAAATGAAGTATGTATAAACTACAATTTTACAATTTGCCATGGAGATCTCGACATGCCTATACTCAAAATTCAAATATTAACTACCAAATAATTTGGCTTTTGTTAGGTATGTTCATGTACAATAAATTGCTATTACTTTTTTCAAATTACATTTTTACCCACGCAAAACATATTTATAAATTATATTAAGTAATCTGTTAGTTATGACCAGGGCTCTGAACTTACAGCATTAGCTTATTTTTATGGTTTGACATAAAATCTAGCAGGATGCTCTATGGATGTTACCACAAGTTCTGCTATGAAATTAGAAAGTGCTTTTTTTTTTACTTTTTTGCATATTTCTGCTTAGTTATGATTTATAATAAGTCATTATTAATAACACTTTAACTGACAAAAACCAAGACATTTAAATTAATTTCAAAGATTTTAAGGTAAATCAAGAACTAAAAATTAGTTATCTCTTTTGTATTATATTTCCTAGTAATAAACACCAAAACTTGTATTTGATCCCTTATCTACTAATCAGCCAAATTAATTAATTTTTTTTTCGATTACTAGAAAATTTTTCAGGAAATCTGTACAAAATATAATGAAAAGTTCCAATGTTTTCAAAAACACAAGTCACAAACCTTGGTTATGACTCATATAAAGTAAACATTACTAAACAACATTTAAAAAAAAAGTTATTATTGAGTATTGGATATCTCCACCATTTAAACAAACTACTGACTAAATTATATTAATAAAATAATATTAATTATATAAAAATAATATATTAGTTTTATATTAATTGTATTACTTTCTTTTTTAAATATTTGTCACATGAAATATAATCATTAAAGAAGTAAATAATGAAAAATTTGATGCAAACAAGCTGTGAGAAAGTGCGCAGTTGGGTTAGATTTTCAATACTGGTGCGCAAACATTCTATCAATTTACAAGTAAAATTGTAAAAATGTACACAAACAGGTTACACCCCATTTTATTGTTATAAAAGTATATATGGATACAGTTGATTGTATAATAATTGATTGAGTACGATGAAAAATATTTTAAATAATTAATGTTTATCATTGTATTGTCAGAACATATAAAAAACAATTTAAATTAGAAGGAGTGCAAACCAATCAGTATCTTATACTCGATAAAGACAAAGGTCTGGTATATATATACAGTATACACAACAACAAAAAAGATTTGGGTCCAGATATATAGAAAGTTAGGTGTGTTTAATCCTGACCTGTGAATGTCCCCGGAAACGACACCAAGCCAACCAAATCCGCTAGCAATTGTGTTCATTTCAACTTGTTTGATGCGATCATCGCTTGCTTCCTTTTCCTGCATGATGTCTGAGCGCAATATTCCCAGGCTCAAGCGCTTGAAAAATCATACGTGATAAGCATTTATGTATATCCCCAATGAGATGAAATGTTATAATTTCTTAGCATTTCCATAAGAAACGCTAATAATTATAATGAATTTTAGCTTTTTATAATGATGCGATTATTATCACTACTTAAATAATGGTTTTTCTTCTAATTATTATTATTATTTATTTGACTGTATTAGTAATCTTTTAATAGAACCTTTAGGTGAAGCTATTAGTGTCAAAAGCGTATAGTAAAATGTATTTATATATAAATAATGTAACATCTAGATTATTAGGCTGTTATTTAATTATTATTTAATTATAATTTTAAACTTATTTATTAAAATGTTTAAAAAAAAACCTATATCAGACCTCCATAGGGGTTTTAGTAATTATTTGCAAGATATGTCTTACCATTTGTGTACCCCCCTTTGCCCTGAGGAGATATTCTCATACATACAATGTGTCATTATCTACAATATTGATAAAAGTATAAAACTTTTAGCAGTAGCCGCACATGGACATATAATGTGCACACACTCATCCTGCCCCACCTTAGTGCATGTTTATGGAACAATCTCATTCGATTTGGACTTTGTATTGCATACAATTCAAAATGCTTGTTGAATGTAAAAATATGTGTAAAAATATAGGCATATCTGTTTAATAAAAAGTGAAAAATGTGACATGCTTTATAAAAATTAGAAACTTACCTGCGTGAAACCTTCATTCCGCATAGTTTCATACAATTTAAATAAATTACGAGTAAATTCATCAACTTCTATCGTTCTAAAAATAAATAATGAATTTTTTTAAACTGTATATTGATTGATTAAAATTTTAAATACTTTTCTAAACAAGAGTATAAAAATTCATGATCATTAGCTACTCGATGTGTAAGCTCATTCAGCGCTGGTTGTATTGCAACTGCTTTTTGGAATTCAGACCGTGGGAAAACCGATGGTAATAGTGTAAACGGTACCACAGTCAAGGAATCATAGTTGTATTGTGTTTTTGACCTCATGCTACCTCCTAAAGAAAATGTAAATGCATTAATTAACATGTTTGTACAAACTTGTAAAAATTATAATAACCGTGCATGATGGTCCAATCTTTGACCTTCTGTATGAGATCTTGAAAATCATTTTTATCCAAACCAATTGGAAGTGATATGCATGGGTTTAACTTTGTTGCCATTATATAATGAATTGATGTGCGCTTAAAATTTTCAATCTAAATAATACAAATAGTGTGAAATTATGAATGGTAAAATAAAATATGTATAAAATATCATTACATAATATAGATTATATTTTATACTTGGCCAGAAAATATGAATAGTAAACTATACTGTTGCTAACTATATTTTGTATTATATTGTTATAAGTTGTGCAAGAAATTAATAGATCTATTTTTTTACCCTCTTCATTGAAAATGTTTAAATACATTTAATGTAGTTAAGATAATTATATAAATATATGACTTTAAATTGAAATTTGATGCCGGAACAGGAGAACCTTCCAGAATTCTTTGCCTCTGGGCATAAAAAATCTATAATCATCCCTCTCCAGTCGTAGTTTCAATTTCTAAAAACTAGACCCGCTGTCGTGGTCAAGGTCTTCAGGTTACTTATAGCCAACAAACTGGTACCATACCACTTCTAAAAGTTAGGTCCAATAACAGTCCATACTATACCCTACTTAATAGTGTAGAAAACACATGTGACAACATTTACTCATTAATTAATTATCCTACCATTTCAGGTGATACATTTTATTTAAATTATCTTTTTTACTTTCAATATCTCAAATGTTCCTTCATTAATTCTCTTTCTCACAAATATGACTCATTTATAAAAACTATCCTTAATTTTATTCTTCAAACAGGTTTAATAACTTTATTGTAAGGGCTTTAAATGTGTTATTTTCATTATAATAATATTTATTGTTTTTTATTGCTAATAGTCTATGTACAATAATTTAAATAGTAATGACTTACCTATTGTTACTTAGTATTGTATAAAGTTAAAAACCAAAATTGTATAAAGACAGGGAGACCTGCAAACAAAATCTGAATTTTCTCACACTTTTTTCTGCACAAAATACACAGTAACGTTGCTAATCATAATTTAGTTTATGTTATACACTTAAAAAGAATTTCTTTGAGGTTACCAATAAATAACAAACTTAAATTCATTTTAATTTGAAAACAACTCTTCAACTGTTAAATTGATATATATATATGATATATAACTTGAATTTTCCTAATGATGTAATTATTTATATTAATTTTCATAATCTTTACTACTTATGTGTTATCTTTAGTTTATGATGAAAACAAGTCAAGATAAATAATACAAATGGGTCTCGTTCAAGAATTTTAATAGAGCAAGAAGTGTAGACCTATAAGGTATAATATAATATACTATACGCACCAACTCACCCAGTTATATATTGTATTAAATCAAAAATTATCCAAAAATAGTTGTCACTACTCACTAGGTATTCTTAATTTGAATGTTTGAACACAAACTAGAAGTATGACGTCCTATTATATCTTATATTATAGTGTCTTCTGCTTATAGTTATAACTTAGTTGTTATTCTTATTCTATCATCATATTGATATTAATTATGAGTTGAACGCAAACACTAAATAATAACTAAAATGAAATAGTATATTATATAGAATGTAGATACCTATTTAGCTATACTCTATAGTGGACTACTGCCACTATAGTATTTTCTGAGATGTAAGTTTATTAAGCTCATCTTTTCTGTCTTCTGTGATAACTGATAAATGATAATATTATTATTATAGTTGTGTAACAATCCTTGAGGGGCCATGTATGTACATCGATATTACAATTCTTTATTATCTATGGTGCCGTTAAATGTTCTTATCAAACTATACAAAATCCAGCAGCTGGCAGCTGGTAATCGCTAGAGCTTCCGGCAGAACATCCTGGCTTCCTGCTATATGAATATATGATGATCACGAGGGTCATCATTATGAACCATAGACTATAGACATACATTGACAACTGGATAGCCGACTACCGCTACAGGATAATATTGTAGTCGGGCAGCCATATGCCGACGCCCGACAGGGCAAAATTACATGGTCGATACTATATTACTTATATACATTTTCGTAATATTCATACCATATAAATATGTATAGGTGCATAGTGCATTGTCTATTGAGTTATGTTATAAACATTGTTCTGTTGACAAATGGCCACACGACTTCAACATTCCAGTATATCACAGGTTGCACTGGAAGCAATAGCACAGTTTATATGAAATATTTTCATATAAATTGTGACAGTAGCTATGGGTAGGTTTTTGTTAAATTTGATAAAAACATTTTTCTTTGCAGTCTACAACCACAGAATTGATTAAATCCTTCATAGAGTAGAGTAGACTTGTAATTTTTTCTAAACACTCGCAAATTATAGCAAAACATCACGCTGTTGTTTGATACTAATTCCATAATTTTTGGACGACTTGGGTTAAGTATTGATTTTAAAAACAATGGTTTAAGTTAGGCTTAAACCATTATCAGTGGTGTATTGGTAAATATATTTATGGGTATACGCACTAATAAAATATGTATAATCTACCAAAAAAAAATTTTCTCGCTTCGCTCGTAGTCAATAATCATTACAATAATTAGGTGACTTAATCTCTTATATTATATTATTTTTATTTTATTTCTTTATTAAATTTTCAGTATTTTTACTAATATAATAATATTAAAATTAACACTGATCATCAATGGAACCGACTAGTATTCATTCTTCTTTGTCAAACGATACTACGATAAGTACAATAAGTCGTAAACTCGAATAGCAAGATTCAAGAAGGAAAATACCCATTATTGCAGTAACAATAATTTATAAATAAATCTATAAATAAACACCATAAACCATTTAATTGGCCATAGCCTGATAAACACTTAATAACATCAGTGGTTACAAAAACATAACATCGCAAGAAACACATTTGCCGCGCGTTATAAATGACATAATACAGGTTGAGAACCATGGACTGAGCATTCATACTCCATATTGGTAATATTACATAATATTTTAATAACATCTATTTTTCAAAATGTTATTAATAAATTTAATTTAAAATTCATTATTATATTAAAATAACAATTTTTCCTATGAATAATTGGTTTTCGAGTTATTTTAAGAGCGTATACCCGTAAAATGATATTTTACATTGGGTATACGCAGAAAATCGAAAATCTGCTGACGGGTATACGGCGTATACCCGCGTATCCGTACCAATACACCACTGACCATTATACATGTTGACTTCAACTCAGAAACGCTGACTATCAAATTCTAAAATAAACTTGTAAAATATTGAGTAAGACTTTAAGTCGAAACGCCAATATAGGTTGGTCAACTATTCGTATGCAATTTTTATTGTTTTTGACATAAATGTAACACTATTTTTTTTAGGGGGGGGGCGTGAGGATTAGAGTGATGCTATGACTCCTATTGTCATGCACCTCCCCTCTTTGTATCCACGTCTGGTGACCTAGATGCCGGTTGGGGTGAAAAATTCTTAATAAAAACTAGTTTTAATTTATAAAAATACAACTTATTCAACGGTTCTATTCTATTATTTTAAATTGGAACTCAAAGTATCAAAACAACCGGTTTGAATCAAATTTATCAATATATTTTTTTCATATTGGGTTACCCAGGAGCCAGTACCCTTTCATACTTGGTACATAACTTTCGTTAGCTGTTGTTACAGACGTTTCTCAATATGCTCAAAACTGGTCCCTATGTTTTGGTGTACGTGGGTTGGCCACCCCTGACTTAACCTAACTGGTCGATGTTCAATAAAAACATTATTTATCACTCACTAGTCACTGTTCAGAATTCAGTATAGTACCTATTATCTACCTATGGGCTATGATTTAGTATTTGACGTTAACAAATAAGTAGTGACTATATAGTGAGTGGTGATTTATGTGTAAATATATTATATAGGTATAAATTCGTGTTTGGTTACTACTTAGAAACTCACAAATCATTATTGACAATGTGGAGAAGAACATAATGCAACAGTTGATCGATTCGCCGTCATTATATTGCATACTTTATCTGTTTATCATAAAAGGCATTTAGGTACTATTCTACTGGACTTTCAACATGGGTACGACTGGTATGAGTATTTTTCCAATAAATAATAATAATTTCATTAAACATCATAATATAACAATTACAGTATTCCTATACAAGTATACTGTATTACCAAACTATAAACCAACGAGTGTTATAATAATAAAATGTGTGTGTGTGTTACGAAGTCAAATCATTATAAAATTATATTATAATAATATTGTTTCCGGCTGTATATTATACTATTTATTTTGTATTTGACTAGTTATCACTTACAAATTGATTGGTCAAGACGTCAAGTGTCCGCTATTCTGTATATAATATTATGATATTGTTTGCGCGTCGCGTCCGCCGTCAGTTGTCACGTACTCGTATAGACTCTTTTCGAATGTTTAAGCTCTCGTATCTTGTTTATACATCGGATAAATAATAATAAATTTCTATTGAAATGATTCGATACGATTTTCGATTGTCAATCACTACTTAATGCTTAAAAGTACTAAATACGATTTAAGAGTATCTATAGTGCCTACTCGGTTACTATAATACGTGTGCCGTGTTAATTTGTTGTACTCATACACAAAACGTCCTACAATCAGTCTACAAGGATATTTGAATTAAATACCTACGTTAACACGCACCTTTAATAATAATATAATACTATCACAGTTTGAAATGGATAAAATATTATGCTGATTTCATTGAAACTGATAAACCATTTATTACGTGCATGAAAAGGTAATAGGAAATGTAAATATATTAAGCACTACTCATAATTCAAACAAGTTCGTTTTGGCATTCTGGTATATTTTATCTCAAAAACTTATCGGCAACGTACGTTTTTAAGTTAATAACGATTTTTTCTAATAAGTTAAACGAAATTATATCAGTATTTAAGTATAACAAACCATAAAAAAATGACTAGGAAACGATTAAAGAGTAAGTATGTAATAGTTTCTATTATTAGTGTACTTGACACTTGTCACATAAAGATAATAATAATTAATCAATTGAGTTTTGTTGATACATATAAAATTATGTTATAACTTATAATGAATATTATGTTTATTCCCTGAGCTCTTCATGGCTGTATCTTGATTATTGACATTGTAATTTATAATATAGATACTAATATGTATTCCAAAAGATGGTCCGTATATTAATGTTATCTACAGAATGATTTTAAGCGTAAATCGAATCCATGAATAGTGAATATTTAAAACATGCAAAAAATTTAAAAAATATTTAATATTATGCAATATATTAAGTCAAAAAAATTCGTTGAGTACCACAAATGTTAATTCGTTATTAAGAGGACACTACACCCGCATGTGTTGTCTCCGTCCTGTCCTACAATAATTGTACAACGTAGCTAACACTTTTTTGTGCAGAACGACTTTATTCCCTCTGTATTTATAGTAAAATTTCCAAACTCAACAAAGTATAAGGAAGACATTTATCTGTATCGTAGTGTCTTTATTATTTGGATAACATAAATAGTCATTACTCATTAAATACAATTAAAGTTATCAGTTTGAGAACATGTGTTTTTTTTCATTTCATTATTAAAAATTATTGGATAGTGTAATCAAAAAAATGTTAGGAGGACGTCGCACCCGCATATTATGTTGTCTACTTGTCTCCGTCTTATACACGTACAACAGCAAATTCCACTCTCGGCAGATCACGTTTAGCTCCGTTAATTTAAAAATTAGAGTGAATTTACCTCTTATAAAATTTAAAGGTAAGATCATTTTCGAGGGCATCTCATCGGGTTTTTGTTATATTTTAATTTTAAAGCTAGTTATGAGTATTTAAAGGTGTGCAAACAATTTACAATTTTAAAATACTCATAACTCGCTTTAAAATTAAAATATAACAAAAACCCGAAGAGATGCCCTCGAAAATGATCTTACCTTTAAATTTTATAAGAGGTAAATTCACTTTAATTTTTAAATTAACGGAACTAAACGTGATCTGCCGAGAGTGAAATTTGCTATGTTGGACGTGTATATGACGGAGACAAGTAGACAACATAAATATGCGGGTGCGACGTCCTCTTAATGCTTCGACACAGATAAACTTCTTCCCTATGTGTTGTGGAATTTTGGAAATTCTACTATAAATACGGAGGGAGTAAAGTTGTCCCGCTCAAAACAGTCTTTGCTAGGTTACTTAGTCTGCTGGTTGTATATTTGTATAAGACGGAGGCAAGACAACTACAAATGCGAGTGTAGCGTCCTCTTATTTTTACGCCTAATTAATAATTACCACTTTATTAATTGTACAGTTACTTTTATAATCTATAATTATTACATCTCAAAATCAAAAATCAGAACTCAGGAATTAACAAAAAATACTTAATTAGCACATAGCCACGTAGGTTAACCTAACCTAACCTAACCTCGAGACAGGGTCAAACATTGTAGGACTTGTGAAAAATGTATTAAATTATAAAGACAAAAATACAAACTAGTTATTTAGTCTTAAAAAATTTAATTGAATTTGATTAAAATGTCAAGAAATGTTGGCCGTTTGCCGTCGACTGTCATGTAAACAAATGAATCGTCCTGTATGTACAAGCGACAAGGATAATTTCTTATCATAACATAATTTTGGCCATGCGCCATTCGGCGTTCAATATTTATTTTCAATGTCTCCTTGGCAACGAACTTACGTTGCCTGTTGCTGAATAGTATTGGTATTTGCTCTAAATATTTTTGTTGGGCGTCCCTTTTTTCTGTTTAAGGAATTATCTAGGTATGCCATCTTAAAAATCATCGGTCTTTATTTTTTAAGATATTCTGTGCTGATAACCATTTGTATTTAAAAACTTGAAAATAAACACATTAAGTGTTAAACTGATACATTTTATATTTATAATCTCATTACTATTATTTCAGTTACACCGGAGTTAGAGAACAATAGAATTGAGGAAGCGGTAACATTAAATAATATGACTGAACAAAATCGTAACAACGCTCCGTCCCAAAAATTCAGCCATGTTGGTGCATATTCGTCATTATATACAATATGTCAGGTAGATACTTTTTAAAAACAGTTATTATTAATATTATACATTTTGTTTGTACTATGATGTTTTTGTTTTAGATAGTTGGATTACTACTTGTATTTTCTGTATTTTATTGGATTCTCAATTTCCGAGGAGGATTTGGATTTACTGAAGCCAAAATCATTTTCAACTGGCACCCATTGTTTATGACAATTGGTTTTATTTATTTATTTGCAAATTGTAAGTTTAATTAACTATTGGAATAAGAAAAACTTACTTAGTGTATTTAATTTTTCAAAAAACTATAGTTCTTTCGAGCAGGATTACTTACATGTAAATGACAAATATTAAGTTAAGAAGAATCCGTTTTACACTGTTATTTTTAATATTAAAAAAACTTAGTATCAAACATGTAGGTTAGAAATTATAATTTTATCTATGGTACCCCAAGTGGTATTTGCTTATATTTTAATTTTAAAGCAAATTATGAAAATTTTTAAATTGGTTATTTTTTTTATTCATTTTAAAGTCCTCAAAACTTGCTTCAAAATTAGAATAGAAACAAAAATGTATCGACATGCCCTAGATAATATTATCACCTAAAAGTTTGATCATTATTCAATTCACTCTAATATTAAAAATAACAGCAAAACAAATTCTTCTTAACTAAAAATTTCTGAGTTGCTGTTAGTGAACAGCTTCATAACAAATTACTCATGTGAAACTTTTATTAATTATCACATAACAAATTCACCTGCTGTTTTATCCAACAGTTATTATATCTTTAAGAATAAAAAAAAAACCTAAAATTTGCCATGTAGTGTATTAGTAAGACAGTGCCGATACATGCAGATAAAACATCTTTTTAAGAAGACATTACCCATATGTTGTCTATACATGTGTCTCTTGCAAACTTATAATATAGCATATTAGTGTTTAGAAGCATTAATTTATTTTATAGCTTTAATATTAGAGTGAATTGGCATTTATTAAACTTAAAGATATTTATAAGAATTAACTGAATTTGTACATAGGTTTTTTTTTACATTGTTTAAATTTTTAAGTTAGTATGTATTGGTATTACCCTTTTATAAACCCTATTCTATAGTTTAAAAATGCTTAAAATTCATTTTAAAAATTAAAAAATTGTAAAAAATGTCTTCAAAACATAGATAATGCTCTGACCTTTTAGTTTGTCAATAGGTTAATTTACTTAAGGTTCTAAGCAATTGGAATTTTCAACCATTTAGACCATTAATCAGGCAAAAATCAATTGGATAGTAGTCCAATTTTAATTTTGTAATTAGTATACATTAACCCCTTTTTTATGTTTTATTAGAAGAATGTTTTCATTTTTTTGTTCAGTTAACCCTTTAAAGAGCATTTTTATCATGAGATATTAAGCTACTTAATTTGGAACCATACTACCTAATTTATCCAAAATGTTGAAAATCTTTCTTATAAATATAGAGAAAAGGCTATTGAATTGCAATAATTTTTCGAAATTAAAATTGGATTACTAGAAGTGTATTTATTTTTGCCAGCTTATTGACATATTCATTGTTAATAAGTACAAAAATATTTTTGTGCTCATTCATGACGTTCTATACATATATTGAACCACTTACACACAAATTATTTACGACTAACACACAAATTGTGGGTAGTGACAACATAGTTAGAAATTGCATATATTGCCTTAATACTAATTACACAAAGTGTATTTAACTCAATGCAAATTTGCTATTGAGTTTTTATGAAATAGAGATAACAACACTATATGTGGGTATTGTGTCCTCTTAACAAATAATATAAAATTATGATTAAATATACATTATAGTATCATACATATTATTATAAATAACTACTTATTATTATTTTTTAGGAGTAAGCTAATAAGGTATTATCATTGTTTACTAACAGTCTTTTCCTAAATAGACCTATGGTGCAAAAAATAAATGATACAATTTAATGAACATTACACTTGTAATATTTACTCTTACAAAAATAAAATTTTTGATTTAAGAAAACAATTTAAAATAGAACATTTTTCTTTTTTATATATATACTAAATCTACAGGATCGTTCCTTTTATCAAATTTCACAAATTACTTCATTCATTCAAACTCTAAACACATTTCGAATCAACTAATTATTAACAATTCAATTTTTATTGATATGAAATATTTAAAAAAAATGAACAATGTATGTTGTCATTCATAAAAGTAAACACTATCAATAAAAATGTTGTTTGGTTTTGTTATGCTTCAAATTATGTTTGCATCATAAACTAGATGCATTGTCTACAGCATATAAAACTACCAACTTTAAATTGATAAAAGTTAGTTGTTTCTCTATTTATAGTTTAATATACATTTTGAATAAAAATTATACAGATTTTCCTGGCTATAATATATGAATATTTATAATGAATTATCTGTTGATACCATTTTTTTTTTTAGCTATTCTTCATTATAGAACATTCCGCAGTTTAAAAAAACGAGATTTGAAAAATCATCATGCGATTATTCATGGCTGTATAATTGTTCTTGTGTTACTTGCTGGTTGGGCTTCTTTTGCTTCTCATATGTATAGTAATCCTCCTATTCCAAATTTGTATAGTTTACACAGTTGGTTGGGTGTTGTTACTATTTCAATGTTCCTCTCTCAGGTTAGTTAGGTTTTAATCATTTTAAATTTGGTTAATACTCAAATTTTTAAATATGTTAATTTATTATCTGTATGTTATATTAATATTTTAGTTTGTAAGTGGCTTTGTGTCCTTCTTGTATCCTGGAATAGCTGTCCAATATAAAGAAGTTGTAATGCCTTATCACATTTTCTTTGGAATTTTCAATTTTATACTGGCAATTGGTACTTCAGTCCTTGGATTCAGTGAAAAATTAATTTTTGCTTTGTATGTATTAAAATTATAAATATGTTAATGATATATTATTAATTTTTAATGTTTTTTCCAATAGGGATAAAGAATATAAAAATTTTCCAAAAGAAGGAATGTTTGGTAATTTTTTGGGCTTATTATGTGTTTTTTACGGTGCATTAGTAGTGTATATGGTAACAAAACCAGAATTTAAGAGAGAACCTAAACCTGAAGACGGTGTGCTGCTAACTGGAGCTTTAGAATAACTGTTATAATATCCATATTTATTAAATAGCTAGTATAAACATAATTTGTTTACAAAATTATTGAGGATATTTTATTTTTCCATGGCCCATGCTCTATTATTAAATTAAACCTAATTTTGCTTTTGTTTAATTATATTTTGTAATTATTGTGTTCAAACAATTTTTTTTTTCAAACATTTGTTTAACATATACAATTTTACTCTTGCATTTTTTATTTTTATTTTTAATTATACAAATTAAAAAAATTATTTTTTCTAACAAATACTGTTTTACACAATTATTTTATTTTTTGTCAAAATAAACTTTAAAAATGTACTGAAAGTTATTTTTGTTATTTACAAATAATAGTGGATAATTATGAAATTCCATTATGTAATTGAAACTATTAATATTATCATTGTCAATTTTTTTTTTTTAATTATCACTGTAATTGTTCTTTCTTCCTCAGCAAACTTGATGATTTGTCTATATTATTATTTTTTAATCAAACAATTGCAAGTAAAAAAAATAAAATTACATCTAGCTTACAACAGGATAATTTAGGATTATATTTTAAAAGACTGATCCCATTGGCAAGACACACCATACTAAAAAGTGGTTAGTTATAACTTGTAAAAATAGTTTGGGGAGCACCCTAGTGTAATAAAAGGCTAAAATTGCCATGACTAGAAGGAAGGAACTCAATATTTAATTTTATATAAAAGTTTGTGACTTACGATTAACGATGACCTAACGTCAATCGCTGAGCCAGTCAGCCACTTTTATAGGGGTCTTAAGCTAAAATCAAAATCAGGTTTTATACTATTTTAATATACTGTAATTTATCATCGTCCTTTGATCTTCATTAGTACAACAGTTGTATGTTTACGTCTGATAGTTTGTATTCTGGTCAACATCAGCATATTATTATAATAATTAATTAGTCAAATTTTGTTTTCTCATGTTTTCAGGTTTAAATAAATACGAAATAAATGAAACCCAATAAAAATCAAAAATGTTGGTTAGGTAATCAATTGTTTATCATTTAAAGAGGCTAATGAGTATTGATCAAAAATCTATTTTTCCACATTTATGTAAAATGCTACATTTATGATTAATCACTTTCTGTCCCAACAAGTCTGCATCTAGTGAAAGAACAGTTAACAGTTTCAGCAATGCGTCAAACTTAATTAAAGTCTACTTATGTTATTAAATCGATAGTATTTCATGTAATTGAAAGAGATTTATCAAATGTTCTAAATAAAGACAATTAAAAAAAAAATGAAAATACGAATAGAGGCTTGAATTGTAATGACTAGTGCATTATTATTATGTTACCCAAATCAATTACTTAACTTTCACTTATATTACAAGAAATTAAAAACTTGAATTTGTAGCTAAAATAATATACCTATTTTAATAATTTATGTTTACCTTTACCTCTTTCCACTTTTTTAATGGTTCGTACTTCGTATACACAGTACACACTAAAATAATCAAATAAAATATTAAATTTACATTTAGTAATAACTAATGTAATATGATCGGGGTTTTTTTTACTAATTATAAAGATGGTAGGGCTGAAGTCCTCCCCTTACTTTAAGGTATAGTTACGCCTCTGGGCCTTCTCATATATATAAATGTATCAAAGTTTTAGAGCTAATTCAGATCAAAATTGAAGTTCGACCATAGTGGTAGGTTGGGTGGTCATATGCCCCCTCCCTAGAATATGTATTATTTATAACGAATAGAACATATTAATGTGCTACATGAGTTTGTCAATAGATTCAGCAAGGTCTGTGTTTTTATGACTTACTTTTTACTGTCTGTTTAGTTGAATAATACTGGTTATAGAAAATAAAATATATTTGTAAACTATATATACTTATAATTACAGTTATTATGATTGGACGTATTGATAATTAGACCAGTTTTTTTTATATTTGGTCAATACCACTCAAGTTACTGTGTTAAAAATCCATATAGTATTGCACTTAACGGAGTAAATCCAAAGCATTTTTTAATTTGTAATGGGAAACGCCATCGTTTAGGATTAGCTGGTTATCTATAGACTATATAATGCAATATATCAGGGATGGGCAACTCAAAGTAACTACAGGGCCAATTTTTAGGAAATTAAAATCTAGCAGGCCAGAGTATAGAAAACAAATAATATACTCACCAATAATAACAATAGAGACGAGAGACTACCTATTCATATATTATAGATAAGAGATGGCGAACCTATGGCACGAGTCTTGCTACTCTATCTCATTTAGAGACACACTCAACTTGTTTTTTTATCATTCAAGCCACGAATGTAGGAATTTTTCAAGTTTAAAGAATGAGTTATCAAATTATTTGGCACGTAGGTAAAATAAAATCCAACCAAAATTTTAATTTGGCACATGAGTACAGAAAAATTCGCCATCCCTGTTATAGACATACATTATACAGATATATAAATATATAGATATTCATTTAAGAGGGTACACTAATTACCTATTTATCTCGAAAAGTATTAACTTTTTTTGAATTTTTTTTTAAACTTTTAGATATCTGTTTTTCTAAAACTGTATAATATTTAAAATTTAAAACTTAATATTTATTGGTGAAACCACTATCATCTTTTGATTTTCAAACAGGAACATATGATAAAAATGTTATACATTCATAAAACCATTTTATTTTTGAATGTTCGCATTAACATTTTTATTTTTCGTTATTTCATTTACGAGATACACTTCTTCAAAGTTTTTTAGATTAAGGAGGTGTTGATTATACTATTTATTCATTTTTATAGACCAGGAGCTAGACGTGATGAATTCGATATCGTTCAACCATTATATGGTTCAACCCAAGGTAACAATTAATAAGTGATGTTATCAACTATTGTATTTTGAACCCAAATCATTTATTAGCATATCGATTAATTATACTTACCGAATTACCTACCTGTGAATTCGATATTTGTAGCAGTAGCACTGCCGACTATATAATACCTCCTTAGACTACCAAACTTTGAGGAGCTGTATCTCGCAAACGAAATAACGAAAAATAAAAAATTGTATGCGAAAATTCATAAAAAAAATAGTCCTATCAATTAATGATTTTTTTGTTGTATGTTCCCATTTGAAAATCAAAAGTTGATAGTAGTTTCGCCAATAAATATAAGGGTGAAAAAATTAGAATATTACACAGTTTTAGGAAAGCATATATAATATATATAAACGTTAAAAAAAAAATTCAAAAAAAGTTAATACTTTACGGGATAATTAGTGTACCCTCTTAAATGGATCACTCTGTATATTATCTATATATAATTAGCAAATAAATATAATATAATAAAAACCAAAAAACCAAATAAGTTTTTTTTAATTTGAATAAAGAATTAATGATATTTTTCATTTCGATTTTAAGTTTAAATTGAAAAAATGCAACAATATCTGATTTTAAAACGATAATTTCGTTTAATATTTAATTTTATAGCCAGCTGATAACCTACTAAGTACTAAGTAAAATAAAACGTTTAGAATTAAATACTTCACACGTAGGTAGACACAATAAATCAATGAAAAATCTCAGCTTAGCTAGTACTTTTTAGAACCATTGATGAACTTATAAATGAATAATCCAAATTCCATAAACCATATACCTATATTAAAGAAGGTAACCAGTTTACAACAAACAATTTAATAAAATATTTAATATAATGATACTAACTGTAGTATATTAGTATATAATATATACAATAAACAAATATAGGTTTATCGCTTATGCTTGCATTGTTATGTAATATATTTTATTGTTGGGTAAATTTATTTATTTTCAAATGTTTTATATGTTACCTTTACCCTCTTGCGAGGTAAAATGATATTTTCATTTTTTAATTGTGTATATGTGCGAGCGTCTAACATAATATGAAATCACAACGTTTTAATACAAACAATTAACAACAGTATTCAACCTATATTATGTATTGATTGTTGAATAAATGTACAAAAATGTGAGTAACCAACCTCACCTGTTACAATAACAAAATATCCCGACCAGTAGGTATTTGTAAATTAAAATAATTTAATGTTTATATTTATGAGATACAGATACTTATAAGTCATCAGGTCTTCAGTTACCTGCAGGCTATAATTTATTCTTACTGACAAAATATTATGCTGAACTTGGAGTTTATTTTCAAAATATTCCTTCGGTCCTCTTAAAAATAAAAATTTAAATATTATAATATAAATTTTAAGACCAGAATTTTGGATATTTTATTTTTTTGTACTAATGTTTTTACATATTAAACTACTATACTAGTGGACGACAATATTGAATATATCATATTAAACTAGTTTTAATTAATGTAACTCCCTACATAAAATAAAAACATTACCGAATTGAATGGTGTTTTTAATTTTTATTAGAGCACTCAAAAACATAATATCTTCAAATTATAATTTTTAACATTTTTTACCTTTTAAAGGTTTTTACTTATATAGTATATAAAGTTCTTAATACAATTAAACACGTGTCACAGCTCATATTGTGGGTTATGCACTAGGAAGTATGTACTAATATTTAGCCTCATAATTCATAAATATTAAATATTTATCTAGTATTGACTCATACTCAAACAAATAGTATCTACATACTATAGTGTCTTAGTGGCTAGTAGTAAAATTATTAAAATACAATTCATCGACTTATCGACAAATATTGATTGTTATATAGAGATTTGGGATTGACTGAGACTTGCCAATTCTGTGATATATATTGATGCCACATGTAGGATTTGTAATCCCATTTTATTAACATGTAAAACAGCTACGTATAAAAACTTGAAAAAAAATATAAATACAAATTGCCAATGACAATAATAAGAAGAGGATAAGACGCTCTGCTGTATAGCATATAAAGTTTCAAATGTATACCTCATAATTAAGTAGGACAAGTAGGTTACTTATTGAGTAGGAGTTTGAAAAAAGCTTATTTTTTATGTCAAAATGACAACTTAAAATGTCTATAAAAAGAGTAGTGTCAATAATATATTTTCTTTATTTTTAGAATGCTGTAAGAACAACTGCCGAATAAACTTTAATTAAATTGCCAAGTTTTTTGACAAACATATTTTTTCATCGTAAGACGAACATTTCTAATTTTGATTATTAATTCTTAAAATACAAAAAAAAAAACAAAATACATTTTAATCAAAAATGTGTAGAATTTAAAGAATAAATTCCCGGCTTTTCGTAATTTTTATAAAATTTATCCAGATTATTTTGAAAAATATTGGTGATTTTTCATTTTCCTTCTTCTACAATAAAAGTCGAAGATCAAATCATTCTTACTACTTCTCCAAAAGGGTTCTGACAGACCAAAAAAAAAATTCACACAACATTGTAATAAATTGTATTATATATTTATACATTGTACTTCAATAGTTCAGAATAACTTTAAACGGTTTAGTTTGATCATAAATCATAATGCAATGCGAACCTTTATAATAATAACAATAATAAATACAAAGCATATATTACAATAATTTATATACATGTACAAAAGTTTCTACGTAAGCGCGAAAATTTTGAATAATTACTATATGTCTGTATATAGTGTATAGTATATAATATATATATTATAAAATATATCAACATACACAGCGAGGAGGACAGTGAGTAACTTTTTTTCAAACCCAGATTTCGGTATCAAAAATATAGTTTTAATGTATTTTTTTTTCCAAGTATATTGAAAAACGTACAATATAATACAAATATTTTCGATAGTAATATTTCGTCATTCCCTGCAAGGTAATCTCGTATAATAATTAGAGGGAGATTTTGGGGGTAATAATGTCAGATTATCTATAATAATATACGGACAATAGGTTCAGATCGATTTCACCCCCACTGCAATTTGCAAACACAAAACAAATAACTGCAGTCTGCAGATTTCTTACGGGCGGCCGACACGCCGTATATATTATTATATATATGTACACATTATTGCCCAACAGCTTTCGAGTATTTTACAACGAGGAGGGGTGGCGGCGGCTGATGCCCGTGGACTACATACCTTCACCCCCCTAGACGGGCGGTATCAACGAGTAAGGTGCGTAGGGGATGTCATGGTGTTGGGGCGGCAAAGCGTACGCCGCGGACGCGGGTGACTGGGCAGCGTCGGCGCCTCCACCGGGCGACGGGGTCGACTGCAGCAGTTCGGTCATGAACCCGATGTACGTGATGGCCAGCCTGAGCGTTTCGATCCGGGACAGCCGTTTTTCGTAGGCGAACGTGGGCACTTTGCGCCGGAGCTTGTCGAACGCCTCGTTCAGGTTGTACATGCGCCGGCGCTCGCGTATGTTGGCCGCGCGCCTTTGCGCCAGCGTGGCCACCCGTCGCCGGATTTTCTTCGACGACGCCATTGATGACGACTTTTGCGAACTACCGCCGCTGCTTCTGAAACGATAATAATAATAATAATATAATATATGAACCCAACTCAATTTTGAACGATAGCAAAATGGCCGCTCCCGTTTCAACAAAAGTTTCTAATATGTGCCTATAATAATTATATTATTCTACAAAGACAATATTTGTATCAGCCTCCTAAAGGTGATGACAGACAAAAATTTAAGAATTTTATATCAATCGCTTCGTTTAGAATCTAAAGTGAAATCGCAAATAATTTCAAAAGAGCCTTTAGAATGTATATATTATAAAAGAGGATTTCTTTACCAACTAATTAGCATTCAGCCAAAACTATGATAACTGTAGAGCAGTAGTTCTCCACCTTTTTTAGTTCACCGTTCACGGCACACGTTCATCACAAGTTTTCGTGGCACACTCACGCACTTGACAACAACAACTTCGGCAACTTCACCGAGGGCATTAGTTAACCCAACGCGCCTATTAATGTATCGTCTTATATGCACAATTAGTGCACAATTAGTCAATTGGTATTTTCTATGTATGTCCGAACAACTGTACAATTCTAAAAACTGTTTTTCTGTTTGTACTTTGTACTGACGGAGCACCTGCTATGACTGGAAAATTCAAAGGATTTGTTGCTAAAGTTAAGAACAATTTTCCAAATATGGGCTCAACATATTGCTTTATACACAGCGAGGCTCTTATGGTGAGTACTATTCCTGCAGAACTGAAAATAATTATGAACCTATAGTTGTAAACTTGGTAAATTTCGTTAAATCAAGTGCTCTTAAAACAAGACTTCTCAAAGAAATGTGTCATGAAGCGGGATCCAAACATGATACTCTGGTTCTTCATACAGAGATAAGCTGGTTGTCGAAAAATGAAGTCCTGCAAATATTTTATGAGCTTAAAAACGAGCTGTCAAGACTCTTTAGCTCTAAAAAACCTGACTGTTGGGTATTTGAATGACACAGAGTGGTGTGCCAAAGTAGCTTATATTTAGCAAATGTATGTTATCAATTTATCATTTAAACTGCTTAAATGAGAGTATGCAAGGAAAAGAAGAAAATGTCCTGATCTCAAGTGATAAACTGAAAGAGTTCTTGAAGAAACTACAAGTTTGGAAACTGTATGTAGAAAAGGAAAGTTTAAAGATGTTTCCTTTACTTTTTGATATAAATCCATATATCAACCCTGTGCACAAGGTGACATAACCGCTCAATTAGTTTTAAATCAGCTCACAGCTCTTGAGGGTATAGTATGGCACAGTATTTTCCCCAAATCCCAGTAGACAAGTATGATTGGGTGCGTAATCCTTACGTTACTTCGTCATAATCAACAACTGACCTATCTCTTGAGAAAGTAGAACAGCTGGCAGAAATTCAAGAGGATAGAACACTATGGCTGAAATAGTGAAATATAATGAATTGCAACTAATTAGTTCAATCTAATTAGATTTTGAATGTGTATGCAAAGACAGAATATCTTGTAATAGCAGAAGAAACAATCAATATTTTATTACTGTTTTCAACCACCTACTTATGAGAGTTAGTATTTTCGGCACTAACAAACGTAAAAAAAATCGGGAGAGACTTCATTCCGTTGATCAGGAAATGCGTGTGTGCTTGTTTTCAATTCGAACGCGTATCGAACTTTTGTGTACGAAACGACAAGCTCAAGATTCTCACTAATAATTTTAATTATTTTCTTTTTATGATACATATATATACAGAGTGATCCAACAAGTATTCATGCATGGTTTCCATTAGTTGAAGTAAATTGTATAAGTATTGGTCGCTCTACGTTGTCATAGTCCACGTGTCCAAAGTTTTTTTTATTTTTTGTACACGATAAGTAGTCGGTTTTCAACTTTTGTATCTTTTCTGATGGGAAAGTAAATCTAGTTGGTGCATTTGGGAGGTCAAAAATTAAAATTCTCAGTATTTTTTAAAAACCCCGTGAAAAACAAAAAAAATTTAAGGAAAAACGGGAATTTTTACTCAAAATTGGTTTTTGACAAAATCGATTTCGGTTAGATAGGTACATGGCACTACATGCAATTTTTACTAAATGTTTATATTAACATTTTATATACACCTTAAAATTTTCTGTTTAAAGTTTAAATTTTTAGAATATTGCCATGAATATATCAATTTTATAATCATATTATGCTACAGTAGGTACTTCATACAGTAATACCTACGAGTATACGGGCAATTAAAACAAAGTATACAACCATGGAAGCCACTCTGCTGTACAATAGGTTTTTAGAGTTTTTTTCAAATTCAAATATCAATAATTTTGTGTAAATTTAAGTTTAAAATGTCTATAGCAAAAAAAACTGTTTTAATATATTTCTTTTAAATATTTTGGATATATTTATGGAAATCCTTGTTTTAAATTTTAAACCTTTAGTTCTACAAATTGAACATTTTATAAATTTCTATTATAATTTGTAAATTTTCGAGATTTTGATAAAATTAAAATTTTAAATACTTGACAAATACTTGACTAAATCGTGCAAATGTATATTTGATATTTATCAACTGCTATTCTTATTAAAACAACTTAAAAGGAATCATGTATTACATTTTCAAGGATTTTTACAACAATTTTTTACTGATATTTATAGAAAAAATACTAAAATACAATTTGAAAATGTCTATAAATAACGCATAGCAAATCAAAATTGTATCGTGTATGAAAAATAATAAAATAAAGATTTGGTAAAAATTTCAAGTTTAGGATTAATTTTTTAGTTACAACAAAATAAAAAAAATCGTAAATACAAAACATTTATGTACATGTATTAATGTTCTACATTCATTTATTTCAACATTGTTGAATAAAGTTATCCCTAGATGGTAAAATACCCTACCTAAGATATCCATAGTTTTCGTTTAATTGTTTTGGAAAACATTTTCTGATTTAATTTAACTGTATAAGATAATTAAGTATTTTTATTTAACATTTCTAAAAAATATCAATAGTTCGATTATTAAAAGTAGAATCCCAATTAACAACGCGGTGTAATTAATGAGCTATTTTTTCATTGTTAATAAAGTACTAATTGGTATATTATTATCAATATAATTTCATTTTGGATTTTGATAAGTATCGTAATAACTAATGTTAAATTGTTAACTTAACAAGTTGTTTCCTAATTGGTAATACTACATTTTAATAATAAAAATAAAAATCATAAAACCTTCTACCGACTCGTATACCATCAATAATATTATTTATATATATATACACCCAAGACTCACTAATTCTATGTTATCGCTGACTATTGTTCTCAATCGTCAATCGATCGTTTTTTATGCATGGTGCATACTATCATTTTGATTGCATATTTAAATAATTTTATAATAAAAATGATACCTATACATTTTTTTAAGAGTATTTATACTTTAAAAAGCTGCTCTTGTTCTCTACTGATGTATAGTAAATAAATTAGTAATTGTGATTATTATTTAAAATAAATACTGTCCCCTTAATAATTGAGAGTTAAATTCCATCAGTTAGTTGCTTTTAAAATCAATTCATGTGAAGGATTTTCATATTATAATATGCACATTTATTGTGAGTTCTATTCTATATTTTCTACCTATCCAAAGTATGAGTTTCATATCTTAGATTACCCTCCAATCTAATATTTCAATTATGTATTTAAAAAACTTATTTTTATGTGCAATGCACATCTCATAAGCTGTAAAAACTTGAATTTTTAGTTTATACATTGCCTTTGCATGCCGTATATTATATGAGTTATAATTATGTTAGTTTGAGCATTGCGCTTTTAATTTTAATATTGTCATACCTTAATACCTATAAGTTGGAGGATAGATTGGAAGGTAGTATGACGTATGAATTATAAATGTGTAACCTATAGGGATGACAACGTTAAAATTAAAAGCTCAATGCTCAAACTAATATTATTTATTTATATTTGTATAATATTAGGTATATATTTATCATTAACTCATATGATATACGGCATACATAGGTAATTTCTATACCAATAACAATATTAACAATGAATAACTAATAAGTAATAACTATAAAAAGTATTGAGTAATCATTTTACTCTACAATGTAGTATAGTGACTGCGTATATAGTGCATCTACAGTGTACAGTGTATTAATATGAGTAATAGGTAATTATACTATCGGTATAACCCGGTACATCGTACATAGGTAGGTAGATAGATACTATATGACAAAATACGTCTATAGTACTATATAGTACCTACTATACAGTAGGTTAAATTCGTTTTCGTCAAAAAAATTACGCTTAAAAAGTCATTGTGTTTATAAAATATAATAGTATATTCTATAAGTTTCAAGTAGGTACCTACCCACAAATAATATTTTTTAAATACAACTTATACTTTCAAGTTTTTTTAGCGATATATAGCAATTTTTTTTATCAATATTAGTTTTAAAAAAACTTATTATAATCGAAAGTTTCCTAGTTACACCAAAAATTATTATGAGTAAAAAATCCCAGTTTTTTCTAAGGTTTTTATTTGTTTTTCCCTCCACTTTCGAAAACTACTGGGAATTTTAAATGTTGTCCTCCTGAATGCACTAATAAAATTATTTTTCCCACCAGGAAGATACTGAAGAAAAGTACTTACTTTACACACTATATAGTCCACAGAATTAATTGTACAGATATTGAGATATTATGGTATATCGTATATACAGGTAGCACGTGAATTATTTGCTAAAACAGGTACCTATTGGTTAAATACCTGCCTTTGCAGCCTATCAATATATTTTTACTTATACTAATAATTTGTTCTATAATTGCATAGAAATATTGAATGATTCCAGTCTGCAGATATTATAAATTATAATACAATAATGTATAGATTATAGATTACCTATATAGAACGTATACGGCTCTTCTTATCTGACTTACGATGTAATATTTACTTATATAGTCTTATCTCATAATATCATATGGGTACTTATGTCTTTCTATTGTTTCATTTGTTTAATTTATAATAATCTGTTTATTCCAAGTATTAAATATGATTCATAGTTAAAATATTTAAAAACCAATTAGTGGTAATAACCAATATTTATAGACGACTTGCATGATACAAGATGATATTATAAATATTACAAATATCATGTTGTATCAACCAAAATAATGAATAAAACAAACTGCTATAAAAAAAATGTATGGTTATAAAATCTTGAATAACCAAATTGAGTACCAGTATACCAGTAGACGTTGTTTATATATCATTATGCTCAATGGCATCTAGTCTATAATTTCAATTTTTAAGCTTTTGTAATCACAGATTAAACATAATACAGTAAAACTTCCATAGTTTCGTGTAATTTATTTTCACAATTTTTTTTAAACATCAATATGTTTATGGAATAAATAAATTTGAAATGTAATAACTTTTTTCAAAATATTTTTTTTTTGTATTTCTTGACAGTGTATATTTCTTAAATTATTTACTATTCATATAATTTTTATAATTTTTGTCATACTTTTTAACTAGTAGTATTTATGTTTTTTTGTAAGGTCTTTCTGTTGTACAATCACCCCCCCTTCATCCCCTACTAAATAGGTCTCTGGGTGCCTATTCATTTTTATGTATATTCATTATTCATAGAAAAAAACTAGGAAAAAATGTATGCAGGTACTCAATCATGCAGTTCTATAAGTTTTTCGTTCATTTATATAGATTAGAGGACATATTTGGTATACATGGTGTAATATAGGTAGGTTTTTTTATAGTTTGCAGTATTGAATAGTTATATCAATCAATAATCATATACTTATGCATTACCTGTAAGTATATACTTGAAGTAGATCGTTAAAATTTACCATAAAGCTAACACGGAAAAACGATGTAATATATACATTATACAGTATCCGAAAATTGTATATCATAGGTAGGTATATCGTATATATTAAAATATTAATGAATAATATTATTATTACCTGGGAACAGCATTTTGAGTTACACTCTGTTGCTGAGCATGGTTATGCGGATTTGGCCACATTTGAGATACTGAAGATGAGTGTTGGTGAATATGGTGATGGTGTAAATGGTGATGATAATGATAGAGGTGAGCATCCGGCCAGCATTCATCGTAACTTTGACTATCCTGTTAACGAGTAATTTATTTAGTATTATTCTAATAATTTTTTTTAATAAATTATAATATTTTTAATGGATAACTAATTCAGCTATAGACAAGCTATATGATATAACATCACCTACGCAATTTATAAGCAATGTAATCGTTGTTACTTATGGACATTCAGCAATTCAGAACTTTATGTACATCTAATTAGGATGAGAAAGCTCACAAATAAGCACTACAAATATATGAGCATATCATTTTAAAACAATTTAAAAAACTTATTGAGATTAAAATAGGATAAGTTGTAAATAAATAATATGAGAAAAGCTGAATTCGAGGTGCTTGCCTTAAGTCAGCATATATGATGATATCTCATAACTAACAGCGGTCCTTGTTAAAATTATATACGAAAAAATTTAATTGGAAAAGTTATAAAAATACTTTTTTCACATTATAACAACTGTAATAACTATTAATTATTCTAGATATTTGCTAAATATTGTCACTTACTGTATTCGTCAAACTCGAATCCCAAGTGGGTGTATGACCCGTAGTTGCGAATCCGTTGCTCATCATTGTGCAGTGCTTCAGAATATGAGAGCAAGTACAGCGAGTTTACCGGGGGCGTATTTCCCTTTTTGTGAAAGCTTGATATTGGTCCATCAGATCAGCCAATGATGATGCAAGCAGATGTTGGTCCGTTTCAACCCTCTTGTTGTCTTGAAAAATATTATTTTGTAGTTCTAAAAAAATCATAAAAATGTCCAATTAAATTCATTACTTGAACTGTTGATAATCAAAAATAATATAAAATACGAACTATGTTACGTTTTTAGTGCATTTTAGTAGCGTTACCTACCGTATAAAATATAAATACTTATGTCTTATGTAGTTTTGAAAAAGATATTTTTGTGATAAACTTAGCCACTTAGGTACATTATCTTTGTTTGATATTTATAAAAATAAAAATAATAAAGATGTATCTGTAAAATTGTAATTTTTAAAAGCCAGCATGTAATGGAAATTTATTTAAAATGAAAAAATATTTGGCCTCGATCGATTCCGGATGATTTTACAATTTATACTTATACACATTTTAACATATTTAAATTACCTACATAAATTAATATTACAGTACAAATTATTGTTAATATTAAAAACCGGAGAATTCGCCCCGCTGTATAGTAGACATTGTTATATTGACTAGATAACTGTAATCTGAAATGAATCTATACTGTTTTTATTTTTTAATATTGCCACGATAAATCTAATAACCTACGAAAAATGATTCTGAGATAATCGTATATAGTCAATCATTCTTTCTATAGTGATATTTTCTAATTTATTCGGATTACCATTTAAAAATGTTCACGTATAAATCACGTATAAATTATGTAACAATAATAAATTATATTGTATATTATTTGTATTAACTAATACCTGTGTAAATCTGCAATACCATCTTATAGTATTTAATGGAGGAACGGTGCGTAAATATATAATAATATATAATGTTCATATATTATTTATTTATTTGTTTATTTATTTATTTAAATATTGTACGAGTTTTTACCCAGTTATATGATTTAATTTAATTTAATTTAATTTAATACAATATCATTAAAAGATAATTTTTAAACAATGGTATAACATTTAAAATATTTTGAAAATCTCACTATGTATAGAAAACAATAAGTAAAGTTTCAAGTGTCTAAACAAAATATTTTTATTTTTGTGCTATATAAGACAAACATTTGAAGAACAGTGTTTTAAAATTTCAAGCCCTAATTATTAAAATTGAAAATTAAATACGAATCTTGCCCAAATTTGAACATCAAATACGCTTATAAAAAAATTCGTGCTAACGTACATTTTATGTATGCCAAAAGTTTATAATTATAGCATATACCTATAAGAAATCTTCTATTAAATGTTCAAGCTTTTCGACAGAGCCTAAACAATTTTAACAATACCAAGCAGAACAAACTAAAAAATAAATTATTGCACGATAAAAATGAATGGTAGGAAAGTACATATTGATATTAAATCAATATTTCAAAATGTCTATATATAACTATATACTTTGTAGTTATATCTATTCATATCATATAATGTATGTTTATATAATATATATGACTATATGAGTGAATTTTATATAATAAATAATAGGATGTGCAGGCTCGCAGCTAATCCTAATAATTAAAAGGTTTTGTAAAAAAACAAATGAATCATAGAACCTAAATATCATTACGTTTTTTGAAAGTTACCTGTATGATTTTTCTACATTTCAATATTTCTATATTAAAAATATACCTATACAATCTACACTATGAACAATTATTTATTAAGGTATGGACATTGAAAAGTTCTGGACTACGAAAACAATGAAACTTACAGACATTATATTTTGACAAAAAATGTAATTTCATCTATATTACGACAGCAGAAGATATTAGGATGATTTATGACGTATAACGTTATATAATATAAAAATCCTTCTTTGAACTCTATATATATTGAAATAATATATTAAGCGTTAGGAAATTATTTAATTTGTTACGGCATTAGTCGTGTGTCGAAACGCATGTCAAATTTAATAAATATTTTGCTAAATGAGCGTATTCGCGCTAAGCCTCCCTACATATTTTGATTTGTTCAATAACACTGTCGCCCTCCGTTTAACCGCGTGTTATGATATACGATTAGCATTACACCCTTAGTTGACTCCAGTAGCATCTGCCGTATCCTTTTCATATATATTGTTTCTATCAAGTGTATATAACAGTATCCCCTCATATGTTTTTTACGGAATAATGGATATTATTATACATAAAAATGATTGGAACCGAACTACTAATTCTCAACGAGATTCAAAAATGTTTAGAATATTAATGATTAAATTCATATTACATAGTCGTATATTCGTATATAGTTGGATATAGGTACATAACTTATACACGAATGATACTAGTATTATTTTGTTTATATTGTATGTTAAACATATTTCATTTAGATACCTATAATTTCTGGACGATCCAGTTAAATTTTAAATCCAAAATTGAATTATAACTGCATATTCCAATAATAATATAAATATTTTAATATTTATGTATAAATAATATTAACCGTTCACTTGTTTGTTACCATAGCTAAATGATTTCTATACAGCAGTATCACGCTTGAAGTTATTAATTCCCCTCTTGCCAATATACACGGTCTATTGTTATTTGCTATATTGTGTTGCCTTTATTAATTTTATTAAAATAATGCAATGCACCGTGATCTCAATACTTAATATTTAGTTGAGCGTATAACAATATTGTTATATGCCAATGCAAATATATAATAAATATTTATGGCGATGACTACATTTACGCTTCTGCATTGATATTTTAATAGAATAAATATATTTTTTAATATATTATTCTTATTTAGTATAACAACAATAAATACAACATACTTAAAGTTTAAAGCATAGACTACCTAACTGAATAAATATATCAAAATAAAATTTGAAAGAATTTAAATAAAAATATACACATAATAGTTAATATCTTTTTATTATACAGATTGGCATATATATCGTATTGTATAATATAATTTTTTACCAAAACAACTGATCAGAATAATTATAATAAGTAAGTACCCATCTAAAAGGCTAGTTGTGGTTTAAAAAAAAATGTGCATCGATCACATAGTTTATTACGAAAATAGATAGATTTCTGAATAGATTCATTTTAGATTCTGAGCGGAGCGATGAATATATTGATTTTACAATTATGTGTTTTTTGTGTGTTTGTGTCCGTGTACTAAATGTATAATCATCACCAGGGCTAAGGACTTAACGCATTTACTAATTTTTATGGATTAACTTAAAATGTAGCAGAGTGCTATGGAAGTGTATGTCATGTTACAATAACAAGTTCAATTATGAAATTTGAAGTGCTTTTCTTTGCTTTTACACAGATTTTTTAAAAAAATGGTTATTTGAAGTTTTCCTGATTATTTTTGATTTTTTGACCAGTTTATCTAACTTTTTTTAGTTTTCTCCTGCAAAGTTGTTTTTGATAGTGAGCGCCTATTACAATCAGTTGATGTCGAACCGTCATTTTCAGCGAATAAAAGAATTTATATTTGAAAACCTAAAACATATATTTTGATCATTCAATGCAATAATGACGATAAGATTTAATTTGAATTAACTTTTTTTCAACTATTTGTAAATATCGATTACATTTTATTTTTCAAAAATCCCTCAGCAAATACATAAAATCCTGAAAGTAAAATACAATTATTTTTGTAATATAAAGATAAATAATATAATAATAATATATATATATTTTTAAACATTTATTAGAAAATATACAGTCTGTTATATTATAATGGTTACAACTTACAATAAGCATATTAGCTGAATTTACATTGTTTTTGAGTGCGTGAGGTGAGTCGTAGTTACCCAGCAGTAACACTCGACGTGATATTGATAATATGTATAAATATAATAAAAAGATTTATTTATTTATTTTTTGATTTTTTAGTTAAAATTGTTAGTTTTTTTTTTTTAATAAATATTTTTGCTTAAATTTAAGTTTTTTAAATGCTTATAATGATGTTTTTAAGTGCCCATTTCAAAGATTTTAAGTGCCATAAGTCCCAAGCCCTGATCGTTACTGACTATATTATTGTTACAATATAAATACATCTTTGTAATTTATTAAAAATGTATGTTTGTTTATAATTTGTGTTCTATATTTACCAGTTATCAACATATTTATGTTTTTGGTACCTATATGTAGTAGTGTAGTACCTATACTATACCTACTGATGTTATCTATAATTTTGTTTTTTTGCGTGATTTTTTAAATTGCAAATTTAACAGTTTAAACTTCAACATGAATGTACTTTGATGTGTAAACACGTGATAGCTGATAGGTAAATATTATGATTTTATAATCTCATATTCACATAAGTAAACATTACATGGACCCGTGGCTATTTTCTTTACAAATGCGTTGTTAAATCAATGACAAGTGTTATGCGTAAATAATCACGTGCAAAATATGAGTAACGGTTGTTACAACATGATACATAAATGAGCTAATGCATGCCAATTAATAATCAAATAGAAATACTGAATTAGATAATAGTAGATACCTAATACTTCATTAATAATGGATTATAACAATTAAGCCAGCTTGATGTTTATAGTTTACTGCGTAATGCGTTAACACAATTTGAATTAGATAGAAAAACAGAATATAAATACATATTGTAACAACTATCAAGGTTATCAAATTACGGGCAGGACCCGTTTGGACCAATTTTTCTAAAACACAGCTCGTTTGGACCAATTTTAAAGACCCGTTTGGACTAAAAAATATTACTTGTATAGTTGTATACAACTCGTTTGGACCAGCATTTTCCTTCCCATTTTATTTTTAACAGGCTTAGGACTATCTTTGGCATGGTTAAAAATGCCGTTTCTTATTATTATTATTATTATTGTTTTATTATAATAATATCAAATATATATGATTACTTCGGCTTAAAGATAAAAATATTAAATAATAAATAGGTACATTAGGTACAATATACAATTTGTCAAATTATTAATTTTTTAAATACGAGTCCACTGAATTACGAAAATGTATTTTTTTACATTTGTATTATACGTATAACTGTGGGTTTTTGGTCAGTTATCAATTATAAATAATTTTGCTCTGTACATAATCTACAAATTACA